CCTTCTCTCCAAACATCTCTTCTAAAGCCTTCAGGCATTACCTGACTTCTACACCAAAAGTCTTGCCCTGGAGAAACTTCCATCCTGAGTTTCCTCTCCCAATTGGTGATTGCCTCTCCCAGAATACTTTCCTCTCTCCTCTCCATCAGTGTCCTAGACAACAGCTCCAGAGGACTTATGATGAAACATGCTATCCACCTCCCGAAAGAGGCGATGAATTCAGATTGAAATGAGTTTTTGGACATGGCCAATACAGGAATTTGTTTTGCTTGACAGATACTTGACATATTTGTCACAAGGGATTTTGTGGGTTTTTTTCCCCTAACAGGTATAAGTGGAAGGAAGACAAAATTGATTTCTTTTGTTAATTGCCTTTGAGGGGCATTTTCTGCAGATATTTTCAATCTCCTGTATTCATTTTAAACTGGAAAAAAGTATGTAACTTCTGGCAGAGATAACAACTGGCAGAGACAACAACAGAGATAATAATAGGGTTACTTTTAGCCCGGTGAAATTAATGTTTCTACCAGGTAAAATGGGTGTAATTTTCGCTTGTAAAACATCACAGTAAATAACAGTTATTCTCTAAATCAAAAAAATAATAATAAGGAAATTAAAGATAAGCTCGTTGAGGATAGGGACAGCTTTTGCTTTTTTATTTGTGTTCCCAGTGTTGAGCACACTATATTTTCACACTAATTAATAAGTGCTTTTTCATTCATTCATTCAAACCTCTAGCTCATGTCACCTCTGTGACCTTAGGCAGATTACTTTACCTTTCAGGGCCTCAGTTTCCTCCTCTTTAAAGTGACAGGGTAGGACTAGATGAAAGTCAAGGTCTTTTCCAGTTCTGACATTCTGTTAGTTGATGAATCTCTTTTGTTGCAGTATTTATGTAACTCAATCTTAGAAGCCAAAGCTTGCTCTATAGGGATATGACTCAGACAGCAGTAATGTGTTTGGAACACCTTGTTAGGTGAGAAACCTTGTGGGAATGCTAGGTTCACACACAACAGAGTGTGACTTGAAGTTTCTGGTTTTATATATAGCCCTATTCTGGCCTTTGGCAGCATGAGTTGGAATGATGCATTGAAGCTGTAAGAGCATGTGACCCAAGTGAGGAATCAGAAGGAAGGTCCAGCTGCCTCCAGCATCTGCAACATGTGACATTTTAGCCCTCAAAATTCTTTCCACTCGTGGGGTACCTTTCCTGGCAAGTCACAGCCTCCTTGGGTCTGAGTTTTCTCATCTGTAAAAATGGAGATAATAACACTTACATTTCCTGCCTCACAGGACTGTTTGCAAAAATAAAGTACTGTAGAGATGGTGTAGTGTTTTTATCTGTGGGCCTTAGAAAACTTTTATGTACATCAATTAATTAACCTATATTCATGCCTAACGAAGAAGCCAGTAGTTCTATTCTTACTCTGAAGGGAAGGATAGTGGTAATTAAATTATCTCAAGGTTCCTTAATAAATCAGAGAACTGGATTAAGCCTGTTGAATTGCTTGACAGTGTTACTTCTCTGTTGACCTGTTAAGTCTCTAAGGGTAAGCCTAGTTTCCACCAAATTACACTATGAAATTGTTTGTTTCAAAACCTCTATGGCACTGATTGGGCAGTTAGGTGGTACAGTGGATAGAGTGCCTGGGCTAGAGTTAGGAAGACTCATCTTCATGAGTTCAAATCCAGCCTCAGACACTTACTAGCTGTGCGACCCTGGGTAAGTCACTTAACCCTATTTGCCTCAGTTCCTCATCTGTAAAATGAGCTGGAGAAGGAGATGGCAGACCCCTCCAGTGTCTTTGCCAAGAAAACCCCAGATGGGGCCACAAAGAGTCAGATACAACTGAAAAATGACTGAACAAAATTGTGACGGTAAGATGGATTCACTGTCATGGAAGGAATGATTGGTGATGATTTGAGGAGCTAGGTGTCTTGAGTTTTAGTCCAAATCATCAATACAGTATAAAAATTCAGTCAGGTCACATCCCCTCTCGGAACCAATAAAGCAAGTAGGGTAGACTAGATTTTTAATGTCCCTTCCAACTCTGACATTCCACAATTTTAAGTCTTGTTGATTTTTTTCTTTGAAAAGTTCTTTCATTTGCATTCCTATAACATACCCAGACTCTTACAATAGTAATTGTCCTCCTCCCTTGTCTTCAGCCTCTCCTGTTCCTCCATACTACACACTAAAGGCAAACATCAGTCCTCTACTCAAAAAATTCCAGTAGCTCCCAATTTCCCTCATAGAGAATAAAGTCCAAATTCCTTGATCTGGCACTCGGTACATTCTGTAATCTCACCATACCATATCTAAGCGTACATCTCATAGTCCAACCTTCGGCTCTAGCCAGGTAGGTTTTCTTCCCTGTTCCTTAAGCCCTCTAAGCTTATGGGCAAATCTTAGCCTTTGTTCATAATGTTCCATCCATAAAGCATGCCCTTCTTCCTCCCTCCTGCCACCCCATATCTTAACCATCCTTCATGGTCCAATTCAAGTCTCACTTCTTCCACACAATCTTCACCAATCATTCGAGACCATCCTGACATGCTAGATATGTTACTGGAAGTGACACATACACTTCTTTGCATTGCTAATCAGTGTTTCACATGCATGAGTCTTGTCTTCCTACACACTGCCTGTCACATTGTTTTGCACATAGTAGTCATTCAGTAAATATTTGTCAAATGAATAAATGAATTACATAGTGTTCGTGAGAACATACTAATAACGAGCATTGCCATTTCTATAGTACCCTACAGCTTACAAAAGCACCTTCTTCATAACAACCCTATAAAGTAGGTAAACCGAGCTATTATTAACCCTGTTTTACAAACTAAAACTGAGAAGTGGTTTACCCACCATCTCAGGCAGAGCCAGACCTTTCATAGATAATCAGTCATATAGTTAATAGGTAGAAAAAATATCAAGTCACCTTATCTGATTCCTTCATTTTACACATGAGAAAGCTGAAACACAGAGACAGTATCCTCAAGGTTACATAGATAATAATAGCTAGTATTTATATAGCACTTTAAGGTTTGCAACATACTTTACAAGTATCATCTCATTTGATCCTCACAATAATCCTGGGAGGTAGGTGCTTTTACCAGCCCTGTTTTAAAGATGAGGAAACTGAGGCAGATAGAAGTTATGTAACTTGTTCAGGGTCACACAGCAAAGAAGTATCAAAGGCAGGATTTGAACTCAGGTCTTTTTTTACTTCAGATCTAACACTCAATTGACTGTGCCACCTGTTACTTTAAGTAGCAGAAAAAATGATTCAAATTCAAGCCTTATGACTCCAAATCTAGTGCTCTTTTCATTACACCATACTTTGAAGGGAGTGCTCCTCACTCTAGCAATAAGTATCAAAGGCAGTTGAACCCAGGGCATCCTATTCAGATCCATAGTTCCTATATCAAGCTGCCTTCATAGCACTGTAAACAAGATTTAGTTCAACAGGTAAGTTCAGTGTACATTTATTGGGTGTTGGCTAGGTGCTAAGGAGATGCAAAAAGACCTCTGGTTAGTCTCCATGGTGGTCTTCAAGATTAAAATCAAATGACAAGATATCCAAATGCTGCTGACACTCTTGTCATTGATTTTAACTTCAGAAGCTGCCACAGTATCCTTTTTTCAGAAAGAACGAAAGAAAAAAAGGAAAGGAAGGAAAACAGGAAAAGAAAACCAAACATCTGGTTTTCTGTTGAGCGTTGCCCTCAGCACAGAGACTCTTACTTGCTTTTTCATTACTTCTAGTGCCCACAGCTGTAAATATACTGCTCATCTCCCACTAGGTGGCAGCTTGAGTTCACTGGTAGCCACTAGGTCATCAGAAGACTAGTTCCTTGTAACTGCTTTTTTGTGACTCCATCACAGTAGTGTGTAAGACTATCAAATACATCTATTTTCATGGATTTGTAACTTTTGCTCAGTTCCTTGCCCTCCCTTCCAAAGATATGAAGGAGCTGAGTCATCACAGGGGGACATACTACCTTGTGTAACCCTGGATAAATCAAATTTACCTGCATAAATTAGAATCACCTTCCTTAGTTTCCTCATTTGTCAAATAAGTTGGCCTAAATGACCTCTAAAGGCTTTTTAATCTCAAAATAATATTATCTTATGACATCTTTCTGCTAACTAGCTCAGACTCCACACCCAGCCAAATCTTTCTTTGCAGTCTGCTGACCACAGCTTAACAGAGAAAGCTTCATTATTCAAACACAGAATAAAGAAGAAAAAAATCCACGAACAGCTTAAGATCCCCAAGTCCACAAGATGCTCAACTGAAGGGTCCCTTCCAGTTTTACAGTATGTGTTTTGCTATGTTCCTCCTGGAGTCACAATTTCTGGTTCTATCTGGAAATCTCTTTCATGGTGGCTGCTCCTCACAATCCATTGGGCTTAATAGTTCTATGAAAATACTTGATGTAAGCAATAATCTTGATATTTTTTCCATCATTGGTTATGGATGTCTCCCATACTGACACTAGGCTGACATGGAACGTGTGGCCTTGACCAAATGAAACCAGAATGAGCTGGTTTCCTTACCTTGCATTAGTTCCCTTATCAGTTGAGTGCTGGAGTTTTGTGTCATACACATGTATTTCATTAATCTTATTGTGTTTTTAATTTCGTGGTTTTTTTACCCCAAGGAAATACACAAAAGTTCTAGCTTTTAAAGAGCATACTTCAGTTACTAGTAGAGATATTACATAGGCTCAGAATTAGAGAAATCAAGGATCATTAAAGCCCACAATAAAACAGGAAAGTCACATCAAAGCACAAAAATAAACAAAAAACAGTTGCAACAACTGACAAGCTATTGCTGGGAAACAGCCTAATTAATCCTGAGAAAATAAACAAAGACTTTCAGGGAGATCTGGCAGTTGAAGAAGTTGTTATTGATTCCTCTACAATGTGAGGTAGTTATAGGTAAGACAGTACAAAGATTGAAGTACTAGTGAAACGCATTCTTTCATTCCAGGACATACCAAAATCATTGTTTGAAGAATTCCGGAAGTTTGGGGATTTTTTTGTTCTTCCAATGTACCTGGAGGTCTTATTCCCACTGAGGGAGCAATGAATTCTGACAAATATTTGTCTACTAAGAAGCAGAATTGTTCTGGAATTACATGTATTCTGAAATGGAGATCGAATGCTACACTATAATCTTGCATTATGCCACATATTAAGAACCATGCCACAAAATGTCAAGAAATGTATCCAGTGATGGAAACACACAAGATTCAGTGGCTTGGGAACTTGACTGATTTAAGCTCAACTGAAAACCTATGGGCTATAAACAAAATCAGACTTAGGGAAATGTTGTTTGTCAAAGGTATTGCCAAATATTGTAAAATAAATGATTTCAGCTAAAGGATATATGGCACATTAAAAGTTTTTTTAAGATGTAAAAAGTTGTAAAATTTATTGTGTAATAAATTTAATTATTTTACTTTGTCCTGAGTAATTCACAAGGCACGTTTATGCTGGTCTCCATCTCCTCTCCTCAGTTATCACCTTCTCTGCTTCCCTCAGGACCTTCTTTAGCACCTTCATTCTCTCCATAAATCTCTAAGCACCACCTTTTGTAGGCCAAAGTCATTTGATTTCTTTGTTGACACCTTGTCAGCACCTCATGGGAATCTTCTGACAAACCCATTTGCTGAAATACTCTATGAGATTAAACTGCTCCCACATGGAGATCTTCTCCTTCACTATCACCATGACCATCCCCTTACTCCCAACAAATAAGGTGGGTTACAAAGACCACAGGCAGACACAGCCGGTGAACATAGTCATTAGGATATGCATCCACAGAATTTTATTTTTTAAAGGTGAATATTGAAAGTAGGCTCAAGCTTAGAGAAAGTATATATGGCAAGTGGGTAATTCACAGCTCCTTATTACTAGGAGTCTTTTTCTCCAATTCATGGGGAGCAGAATAAGCTCTTTTAAGGCATGGTATAGTTTCTTTGCTAAGCTCCTTGTAGAGCAATGAGTCCAGTCTGTTCTTGGCTCCTGCTGATGTGGACACTGCCATTAGCTGATCAAAGAATGCAGTGGAGACACCACCAATGGGAACATGGGAAGTACAACCTCAGTCTGGACCCCGTGAAGCTTGAAGGTCCTCCTCTTGTTGTAGGGGTGGGGGAAAGGAGAATAGGCCCCAGCCCAGGCCTCTCCTTCCCCATCACCCCCAGTCAATTCCTACTTAATAATCTGCTGGAAAGCAATCCTGGTCTCAGACAAAGCAAAAGCAAAAATAGATTTAATTAAAAGAGATAAAGAAGGAAACTAATTATCTTGCTGAAAAGTACTATAGATAATGAAGTAATATCAATACTAAACATATGTGCACCAAATGATATAGCATCTAAATTTTTGAAGAAGTTGAATGAATTATAAGAGGAAATAGATATTAAATACACTAGTTGGGGACCTGAACTTTCCCCTCTCAGAATTAGATAAATCTAACCAAGAAATAAACAAGAAACAAGTTAAGCAGGTGAATAAAATTCTGCAAAAGATATGATAGATCTCTGGAGAAAACTGAATGGGAATAGAAAGGGATATACCTTTTTCTCAGCACTGCATGGTACCTACACAAAAATTGACCATGTATTGTTATGTAAAAGCCTCACAACCAAATACAGAAATAGCAAAGGCATCCTTTTTAGGTCATAATGCACTAAAAATTACATTCAGTAATGGACAATGGAAAGAGATTAAAATTAATTGGAAATGAAATAATCTAATCCTAAAAAACAAGTGGGTCAAAGAACAAAGCATGGAAACAATTGATAATTTCATTAAAGAAAATGATAACAATGAGAAAGCATACCAAAATTTATGGGATGCAGCCAAAGCAGTACTTAGGGGAAAATGTATATCTCTAATTGCTTACATCAATAAAATAGAGAAAAATCAGATCAATGAATGGGGCATGCAACTAAAAAAATGTTTTAAAGAACAAATTAAAAATCCCCAATCAAACACTAAATTGGAAGTCCTGAAAAATTAAAAGAGAGATTAATAGAATTGAAAGTAAGAAAACCATTGAACTAATAAATAAAACCAAAAGCTGGTTTTATGAAGAATAAACCAATATAGACAAACCATTGGTTAATTTGGTTTTAAAAAGGAAAGAAGAAAACCAAATTACTGGTATCAAAAATGAAAGGGTGAATTCACCACCAATGAAGAGAAAACTAAGACAATTGTTAGGAGCTGTTTTGCCCAATTATATGCCAATAAATTTGATAATTTAAATGAAATGGATGAATATCTACAAAAATATAAATTACTCAGATTAACAGAAGAAGAAATAAAATAAATAACCCAGTATTAGAAAAAGAAATTGAACTAGCCATCAATAGATTTCCCAAGAAAAAATCTCCAGGGCCAGGTGGATTCATAAGTGAATTCTGCCTAGCATTTAAAGAGCAGTTAATCCCAATAGTATATAAACTATTTTGATAAAAAAAAATTAATTAAAAAAATTTAAAAAAATTTTTAAAACTTTAAAAATTTTTTAAAAATTTAAAAAATTTTTAAAAATTAAAAAAACTATTTGGAAAAATAGGTGAAGAAGGAGTCTCACCAAATTCCTTTTATGATGCAAGTAATGATGCTGATACCCAAGTCAGGAAGAGCCAAAACAGAAAGAAAATTATAAATCAATTTTCCTAATGAATATTGATGCAAAATTTTAAAATAAAATACTAGCAAAGAGATTAAAGCAATTTCTCATAAGAATCATACACTGTGACCAGGTGGGGTTTATATCAGTTATGTAGGGCAGGTTCAATATTAGGAAAGCTATTAGCATAATTGACCATATCAATAACAAAACCAACAGAAATTATATGATTATCTCAATAGATGTGAAAAAAGCCATTGACAAAATACAGCATACATTCCTACTGAAAACAGTAGAGAGCATAGGAATAAATGGAGCTTCCCTTAAAATAATAAGTAATATTTATCTAAAACCATCAGCAAGCATTATCTTTAGGGGACAAGCAAGAAGCCTTCCCAGTACCATCAGGGGTGAAGCAAGGATGTCTATTATCACCTCTATCATTTAATATTGTATAGAAATGTTAGCTATAACAATAAGAGAAGAAAAAAGAAATGAAAGGAATTAGAAGAGGCAATGAGGAAATAAAACTCACTTTTTGCAGATGATATGATGTTACACTTAGAAAATCCTAGAGAATCAACTAAAAACTACTTGAAATTATTAACAACTTTAGCAAAGTTGCAGGATACAAAATAAATGCACATAAATCATTAGCATTTCTATATATTGCCAACAAAGTCCAGCAGCAAGGACAGAAAGAGAAATTCCAGTTAAAATAACCGTAGACAACATAAAATACTTAGGAGTTTACCTGCCAAGACAAACCCAGGGACTATATGAACACAACTATAAAATATGTTTCACACAAATAAAGTTAATTGGAAAAATAGGTAGGTTGAGCCCATATAATAAAAATTAAAATTCTACCTAAATTAATCTATTCAGTGCCATACCAATCAAACTACCAAAAATTATTTTATAGAGCTACAAAAAATAACAAAATTCATCTGGAAAAACAAAAGCTCAAGGACATCAAGGGAATCAATGAAAAAAATGGGAAAGAAGGTGGTCTAGCTGTACCAGATCTGAAAACTGTATAATAAAGCAGCAATCATCAAAACTATTTGGTACTGGCTAAGAAATAGAGTGGTGGATCAGTGCAATAGATTAGGTACAAACTACATTATAGTAAAAGACCATAGTAACTTAGTATATGATAAATCCAAAGAACCAAGCTTTTGGAACAAAAACTCATTATGTGACAAAAACTGCTGGGAACACTGGAAAACAGTATGTCAGAAACTAGGCATAGACCAATATCTCATACCATATACCAAGATAAGGTCAAAATGTGTACCTGATTCACACAAAAGCATGATACCATAAGCAAATTAAGAGAGCATGGAATAGTTTGTCTGTCAGATTTATGGATAAGGGAAGAATTAGGACCAAAGAAGATACAGAGAGCATTAAAAAAACATAAAATAGATAATTTTGATTATATAAAATTAAAAAGTTTTTGCACAAACAAAACCAATGTAACCAAAATTATAAGGAAAGCAGAACACTGAGGGGGGTAGGTGGGGAATTTGTAACAAGTATCTCCAATAAAGGCCTCATTTCTCAAATATTTAGAGAACTGAGTCAAATTTATGAAAAACACAACTCGTTTCCCAGTTGAGAAATGATCAAAGGATATGAACAGGAAGTTTTCAGACAAAGAAATCAAAGTTATCTATAGTCATATGGAAAAAATGCTCTAAATCACCATTAATCAGAGAAATGCAAATTAAAACAACTCTGTGGTATCAACTCACACCTATCAGAGTAGCTAATGTGACAAAAAAAGGAAAATATTGGATGTTGGAGGGGATGTGGGAAAACTGGAACACTAATGCACTGTTGGTAGAGTTGTGAACTGATCTAACCATTCTGGAGAACAATTTGGAACTATGCTCAAAGGTCTATAAAACTTGGCTTGTCCTTTGATCCAGCAATACCATTGCTAGGTCTGTATCCCAGAGATATCCCACCTACCCCCCCAAAAAGGGGAAATGACCTATTTGTACAAAAATACGTATAGCAGCTCTTTTTGTGATGGTTAAGAATTGGAAATCAAAAGGATTCCTATAAATTGGGGAATAGCTCAACAAGCTGTGGCATATGATTGTAATGGAATATTATTGTGATGTAAGAAATGACAAGCAGGATGATTTCAGAAAAACCTGGAAAGACTTACATGAACTGAGGCACAGTGAAGTGAACAGAACAGGAGAACATTGTACACAGTAACAGCAATATTCTTCTATGAAGAGCTATGAATGACTTAGCTATTCTCAACAATACAATGATGCAAGACAATCCCAAAGGAGTATTGAAGAAGCATACTATCTGCCTCCAGAGAAGGAACTGATATTGATTGAATATAGACTGAAGCATGTTATTTTTCACTTTCTTTTTTTCTTTTATTCAAGTCTTCTTTTACAAAATGATTAATATGGAAATGTTTTACATAATTGCACATGTATAACCTATATCTGATTGCTTACCATCTAAGGGAAGGGGGAGGGGAGAGAGAGATAGAAGTTGGAACTCAAAACTTTAAGCAAAAATGTTTAAAAAATTTTCACAAATATCAGCAAATAAAAAAATAATATTTAGTTTATCTGGTGCACAGATTTTTGCAGAGAAACTGTATATTATAAATGCTTTGTAACCAGAAAGCTCCCCACAAATGTGAAGCATTCCAAATTATTACCAGTTTGTGCATTTTGTATTCTCTACAGTTTCTTAGACATCTGTGTTATCTGTCTGAGACTGCAACCCTGTAAT